ACCTGTTGGGGATGAAAGATTGACTAGGTCATTGTTAGAAGAAAAGAATATGTAAGAAAATATTTTAAAATGTAAAAAAGATCCCCTTTTTTAATGCATAATCTCCCATCTGTCATGGTGATAAGATAAGGTAAACTTTAAGCACAAAGACAGCTACATTGTTCCTAGTTACAAATATAGATTATTTGGGAAGATATAAATATGTTACCCCATTTCCAGGATATAGATTTAAGTTACTGAGAAAGCCTTCTCCCAAAGGAGGCTGGTCACAAGTGCTAATAAAGTGACTTAAATTGTGATTAAAAAACATTCATATTTAAGACATAATTTAAATCTTTAGTAAAGAGGCTAACCCTTGTTTCTCAGGAAGGTTAAGTTTGTCTCTTCAAAGGGGCTAAGATGAACAGGCACAGTAGTAAGTCAGCAGTTCTTAAAAGGCGTGTTCCCCGTCTTGGACAGAACAGCCCCTTGGTAAGTTCACTGGTTTTCTTCCTCCTCTCCCTTCCATCTTTTCCCTTTTTCTTTCTATGATAGTGATGAAGCCCAGAACCTTACACAAGCACTCTACTCCTGAGCTATATTCACAGTTTAGAACTCTAGTTTATTTTAAAAATTAGAGTACAGCTAGAATTTGAATTTCTGGTAGATAAACTATGCCCCATTAAGGATATCCCAGTTCAAGTCATTTTTTAAAAAATATTTGAATTTCCATAAATGTTTACTGATTCACCATATAAAAGGGCGGTCGCTAAGGAGTTGTGTCAGTGTGTGTTTGGTTTTGATTTGGCTAGAAAAAGGAAGAAAATGTCAAGCTGTCAGTTGTGGTTTTCACTTAGTCTTTTTATGTAATGAGCTGGTGGTTTGTTTTCTCTATCACTATGGCAATTCCAGCTAGTTTTGAAGAGGTAGATTTGGTTTGCTTTGGTTTTGTTTTTATTTTTGTGGGTTTTATTTTGTTTTACTTATTTTGGGGGGATTGGGGCATGTGCATGGAAGTCAGAGGACAACTTGCAAGAAGAAATGAGGTCCTCTCTTTGAACCATGTGGATCCCAGGGATGGAATTTTGGCCTACTGATCTATCTTTCTGGCCCTGTTGTTTGTTCTTTTTGGGATGTGTTCTCACTGTATAACTAGTGGTTAGTGTGTTATCCGGTCTGGCATTAGACTTGGACTGATCCTTCTGTCTTAGTTTCCTGAGTGCTGGCCTGCCCATCTACTCCAGATGATTTGTGCTTTTACATGTTCCTTCTTATGACTATGGCTTACACTGTCATCCCAACATGTTTGAAGCTAAACTATTAATTACAAAGTTGGGTGACAGCTAGGTATGACGATGCATGCCTGTAATCCTAGCACACGGGCAACTGAGTCCACCAGTCATTAGATTCTTGAGCATGCTGGGGATCACGTGGTAATTAAAATGCAAGCTGGAGGGACTGGAATTGGGCTCAGAAGTTGAGAGCACTGCAAGAGGACCCAGCACCCACATGGCAGCTCACAATTATCTGTAACACCAGTTCCAGAGGATCTGACACCCTCTTCTGCCCTCTGTAGGCACCACCCATACACGATCCACAGGCACACATACAGGCAAAACACCCATACACATGAAATAATAAAAATGTGTTTTTAATAGTAAAAGCTAAAGTAGTGTGTTGTGCCATGTATTGTTTGCATATATCTGCCGCATTTCATTAGTATTAAACATGGAAGTCAAAGTTTCCAGTGGCAGTAAGCTTTTCATTCTGTCCCTGCCTGTGCTGGCTAGATAAATTGGCAGGAGCTAGGGTAATTTTGGAAAAGGGAACCTCAGTGGAGAAACTGGCCTGTGGACAAGCTGTGGTGCATTTTCTTGATTAGCAATTGAAGTGAGAGGGCACAGCTCACTGTGGGCAGTGTCACTTCTGGGCTGGTGATTCAGGGTGCTGTAAGAAAACAGACTGAGCAAGCCAGTCTGTGTCGGCTCCTGACCTGTTTGGGTTCCTGCCCTGATTTCCTTTGATGAGCCACAGTGATGTGGAAGTGTAATCTGAAATAAACCCCTTTGTTGACCCCAGGTGTCACAACCTCTATTTCCTTCTGCACCCTTCTTTCCCGGCCTTTGTCTGTTCAGGGCTAATCCACTATGCTTCTGCTTTCCTGAGACCCCTCCTTGCCTCACTCCAATAGAAGTTACTCATTAGTTGATAGTCTGAAGAAAAATGCCTGTGCTGTGACTAATAATTCCACATGAGCATAGCTGAGGAAAATTTTCTTCACTTCACAAACAAGAATTCCTAAGATCCATCTATTGGAAACACATGTTTTGTTATACTCGCAATTTCTAACTATTGTCTTTCCAAGATTTTTATAATAAAAGGACATTAGTAATTTTTAAATGATACATGCAAGAGAAGTAATAATTGTTTATTTCATTTTATTACTTGTGTATATTGGGATACCACAGCACATGCATATCAGTTATCTACTGCCGTGTGAGTCCCAGGGAGTGAAGGCAAGTAATTATGCTTAGTGGAAAGCACTGTTACCTGCTAAGCCATCTCACTGGCGATTGGTTGGTTGGTTGGTTGGTTTTTTAGTGCTGGGTGCCAAACCCAGAGCCTTTTAAGTGCTAGGCAATTGCTCTACCCTAAGCTATATCTCCAGCCCTTGTTTTTTTGTTTGTTTGTTTGTTTGTTTTGTTTTTGTTTTTGTTTATTTGAGACAAGTCTCCCTTTGTAGTTCAGACTCTCGTGGAAACCACTAGACCTGACTAGCCACAAACCCTCCTCCTGAGTGCTTGGATTGCACACGACATGCACTATCACACCCAGCAATAATTCTTGGTTACTTATTTAACAATTCTGCCAGCTTATCTTCAGAATAAAGCCAAGATAATTAATGTGTGTGTTCAGTTTTCTATAAAAATATACCCTTTTGAAAAAGTAAGTTGCTTCACAGCCATAATCCCAGCACTTGGAAAACGGAGGCAGGAGGATAGTAAGTTCAAGTCCAGCTTAAGTTATGCATTAAGACCCTGCCTATAAATATGTGTCCTGCTACTTTGTAATTGCTGTTGACAGTAATAGTAATTAGTAGTTAGTTGACATGAAGTTAACTTGACAGCCAGTTCAGGGTTTTGTGCTAAAAGTTCATTTTAAACCCCGTATCCCAGCTGGGCGTTGGTGGCGCAAGGCTTTAATCCCAGCACTTGGGAGGCAGAGGCAGGCGGATCTGTATGAGTTCAAGGCCAGCCTGGTCTCCAGAGCGAGTGCCAGGATAGGCTCCAAAGCTACACAGAGAAACCCTGTCTCGAAAAACCAAAAATAAAAATAAAATAAACCCCGTATCCCCAGTGAATAACAGTATTGTTCTCTGGATACTGTAGGCTAGTCACCTGGTCAAGGCACTAAACTTAATTTTTGCTTTGGCATAGTTGTTTGCTTATATGTTTTATGAGACAGGGTTTCTCTGTATAGCCTTGGCTGTCCTGGATCTGTAGACCAGACTGGCCTTGAACTCAGAGATCTGCCTGCCTCTGCCTCCCAAGTGCTGGGATCAAAGGTATACACCATATACCTGGTGCTTTGGCATAGTTTTCACTAATATGTTACTTTATAGCTTTTTCAGTAATTTGAAAAAATAACATTTAGTATTTAAGCAAAATTTTGTTATAAAAACTATTTCATCTTATTTACAAACTTATTTTCCTGGGTTGTCTTTTAACTAGTTTTGTTTTGTTTCACTTGAGATAGGTTCTGACTACTCATTGAATAGCCCCAGACGGCACTCAGACTCATGGCAGTTGTCCAGATTCAGCCTCCTGAGTGCTGGATTGTCAACAACATGCCTTACCATGCCTGCTTAGGGCTTGACACTTCATAGTACTCCATCTTAGTCCTTTCATGATATGTAGGGATACATTTGGGGTTTTCAGGTTCTCACTGTGTAGTCCAGACTGACCTGGAACTCACTAGGTAGCCCAAGCTGGCATCAAACTTCTGCCAACCCTCTTGCCTCAACTTCCTGAATGCTAGAATTATACATATGATAATGGGATTAGTTTGTCAAACCTGGTGACTGTTCGTTCGCCTGTCTTGAGATCCCTGTTACCAAATCACTGAAACCAGGGAGTAAAAGGAAAAAGAATAAGCCTCAACTGAAATGTAGCAGAAAAAGTAGTATAAGCATTCTTGTAATCTCATCATCTTGGGATGATCAAGGGTTCAAAGTCAGCCTTGGCCATATGAAACCCTGTTTGTGACTTTTTTTAAGGTATTGAGTAGAAATGATTTTTTAAGTTTTATTCTTATTTTCTGTGTATAGACGTTTTGCCTATTTATGCGCCACATCTGCAGTTGGATCCCCTGGAACTGGAGTTGCAGGCAGTTGTTAGCTGCCATGAACTAAACCCAGGTCCTCTGGAAGAATAAATTAGTCCTGTTAACTGCTGAGCCATCTCTCCGTACCCTAGAGATAACTTTAAAATTATTTTGTTGAATTCTTTGTGTGTCTAAAGTGTGGGCATACCATGCCAGAGCACATTTGTGACGATCATAAAATACCTTCCAAAAATTTGTTCTGTTCTTTGACTGTTAGCTTCCAGGGACCCAGCTCAATTTGTCAAACTTTCTCAGTGAACACGTTTTGCCCTCTAAGCCCTCTCACCTTGTCTGCACCCTAGGAGATAACCTTTGTCTTTCTTTGTGAAATTAGTTACTGCTTTTATCTACTAATCTATAAGTCCCTTAAGGGCAGAAATGATATTTTAGTCATCTTTAAATCTCTTTATAAGCAAAAACTAGACTTCATTACCACTCTTGGCTATCAGAATACATTAAATAAATTAATTTAGTGTCCATTCTGTGACTCCTTTTGGGTGTCTAATCAGCAGCTTTTCTTTTTTGCTTTTATGGTTTCCTTATACATAAGATATTTCAAGTGTTTATAGAAATAGTGTAGCTGTAAAATATAAATAGTGGAAACATTTTCAATTTATAGCTATTATTTTTAATTAACTTGCCAGAAGTTCATTCTAAATATATATAACTCTTTCTTCCCCTGCCTTTTTTTTAAAAATGACAATGTCACCAGGTATCCGTTACAGCACTGATGTGAGTGTGGATGAAGTGAAAGCCCTGGCTTCTTTAATGACATACAAGTGTGCAGTGGTTGGTAAGTGAGTCTCTGCTGGTACCTAATAACTCTCTGAAGAAATATGTTTATATGCAAGGTTACTTTTAAAAATTATTACTTTTTATTACTGTTTATTATGATATGTTTATGGAGGTCAGAGGCAACATTGTACAGTTCTCTCCTATTTCCTTTACTTGGGTTCCTGGAATCATACTCAGATGGTCGAGTTTTTAAGTACTGTTACCTGCTGCGCCAACTTATTGGCCCCAACATTACTTTTACTATGCTATAAAAATAATTAACAGAGCTGGGTGTGGTAACATATACCTTTAATCCCAGAGGCAGATGTAGATCTTTGAGTTCAGGGCCATCCTGGTCTACAGAGCTGTTCTAGAATAGCCAAGGCTGTAATACAAAGAAATCCCATCTCGAAAAACCAAATATATATACATTTTTTAACAGAACTATTTTGGTTTTTTTGTTTTGTTTTTAAAGGGCCTTGTTTGTTTATTGAGATGAGGTCTTAACTATATAGCCCTGGCTGGCCTGAAACTCTGTAGGTGAGACAATCTGGCATCAAATTCACAGAGATCTTCTGGCCTCTGCCTCCCAAATGCTGGGATTAGAGGTGTGTGCCCCCAAACCTGGCTTAGCCTTTTTATTTCCTTTCTTTTTAATTTTTGAATATGATTTAGTACTCTTCTCCATTTCTGAATTACACCAAAATTTTGCTGCTTAGGATCTCTGCAGAGGCGATAGGGAATGTAGACTGGATTCCCTCCTTATTTATGTGTTTGCATGTGTAGTATATACCAATATAGATGGATGCACACATCAGTATTTAATGAAATAATATATCACCAAGGAGAATACCTTATTAAGGAAATACAAAAGTTTGTCATTATTTCCAAACTTAAACAGTGAAATTTCTATAAAAGGTAACTGGATTTTCTTTAAACATAGATCTTTGTTTTAAATGCTTATCCATATTCCATAAATAAGATCAAATCCTATTAAATCTTATCAAATAGTAGAAGGAAAAGAAATACAGTATTCTCTTAGAAATAGAGTACTGATTAAATCCAATTAAAACCTGGCTAGCATTATTATATCTGTTTAGTAAGACTTCATTTCAAGTTTAATATCTCTAGGGTTTTAGGGGAGTTTTTTGTTTGTTTGTTTTTGTTTTTTTTTCCTTTGGTTTTTTGTGTGTGATGCTGATAACTGAACCCAGGGCATTTGCTGTTAGGCAGGCACTCTACCAACTAAGCTAAAGCTTCAGCCCTGGATATATTTCTGGAATTTTCTAGAATTAAAAGAGTCATACAGTTTTGTAATAAAGGTTGGGTATTGTTACGATAAATCTTTCCGCCTAAAGCCATCGAGTCCCACCTCCACGTGTGAGCTTTACGACAGCCACCCTCCCAAGTTAGGGCCCCAATTAATGCACAGACAGACTTGTATTATGTACAAATGCTGCTTGGCCAATGACTAGGATTCTCATCTGTTAGCTCAGTCTTAATTATCATAAATCTATATGTTTTATAAGACTTATCTTATTGGACACCTTCCATTGTTGTCCTCCCTTGCCAGTGGATTACAAGCGCTGCTGGAGGATGCGAAGGGGAAAAGGGACTACTTCCTGTTTTTCCTTGCTTAAACATGAGTCTCCCTGCTATGTCACTTCCTGCCTGGAATCACCACTTCTCTACTACATGCCCCAGAATCCTCTTTGACTCCTAGTCCTGCCTAACTTGCTGCCTCATTGGCCAAACAGTACTTTATTTATCATCCAGTAAGACAAACACATACACAGAAGCACTTCCCCCATCAGGGTATTCCTAATCTGAAATGCTTCAGAATCTGAAACTATATGAACACCAAGATGATGTGCCCAGTAGAAAGCTCCTACCTGATCTTATGCAATGGACTACTATCAAAATGTAGGTAATAGTAAAATGCCCTACACCATTACCTATCGTCTACATGCACATGAAACATAAAATTCCCATCTAGAGTTGGATCCCAACCTCAAGATATCTAATTATGTAAATTAAATGCAAGAAATAAACACTTGAGATGAGGATTCCTCCCCTTGTATTGTTTTTATACTTTTTAAGTTTTATATGGAACAACATCTTTCAGTCTTCTCTTTCAGATGTGCCATTTGGGGGTGCTAAAGCAGGTGTTAAGATCAACCCCAAGAACTATACAGTAAGTATCCAAGGGATGTTTGCATACACAGGACCTAAAAGTGTGTTCTTTGTACCAGTGAGATTAATGGTTTCCATTACTTTCCTGAAGGAAAACAAATAACTATTCAATTAATAATAGATTAGCTAAGTAATGTATTTTGCCATACTTGTTTGCCTGCTTGTTTGGCATTGATGCCTTTTTCTTTTTCTTTTTCTTTCTTTCTTTCTTTTTTTTTTTTTTTTGATGCAAACTGCATGAGGCTTTATTATAGTTGTTTAACGAGCTAACCCCATGTTAACGAGGGTCTTTCATCCACCCGCCATGGCAGATGGCTAGGAAAGACAGCTTGAAGTGTCTGCATAGAGATCTTATATGGCAGCGTAAGGGGAGTGTCTAGGGTTATGCACAGGCTCAGGATTGGTGTGCCTCCAGGCTTGGAGGGTTTGCCCTGTGCTGATTGGTCAACTGGTTGTTATGGCCCATAGACCCTCCCAGGGTGGTTTCTATGCTCTGCTCGTCATTGCTGTGCAGCTTGTCTGTAAAGCACACCCAGAGCCATAAAGCATAGCACCACCAACTAACTTCTGATTGTTCCTTGCCACGAGGCAGTGATGCCTTTTTCTTACTTGGTAGAGAGTTAATATTTTTATGCTGACAGACATTTACATCCATGTTTTAAAATTGTGATCTGAAATTTTAACTAATCTAGTAAAAATCATCTTTATTCTGTTAGTTCCAAGTTAATTAAAACTGGTTGCTGTTGTGGTCAGCATAGACTAAATTAATGATCTATATACAAACACAATAACTGTGATTTTATTCCCCTAAATTCACCTTTTGATGACTTCTTTGAGCATCCAATTACTACACTTGGGTGTGGCTTATTTCTGTAACTCTAAGAATCCCACACCAGCTGGATGATGGTAACACAGACCTTAATCCCAGCACTTAGGAGGCAGAGGCAGGTGGATCTCTGTGAGTTCCAGATCAACCTTGTTTACAAAGTGAGTTACAGGGCAGCCAGAGCTACACAGAGAAACAGAGTCTGGGGGAAAAAAAAGGAAGGAAGGAAGGAAGGAAGGAAGGAAGGAAGGAACGAGCCCACACTTGTGCTCTCAGATGTGTCTTGTCCTTTTTTTTTTTAGTACCTTTTTATTAGTCCACAATGCCTATACTAAAACATCTTTATTAAACCCCAACTCTGTTTCACTTCTTTGTTGTTGTTTTTCAAGACAGGGTTTCTCTGTGCATATTTGGAGCCTGTCCTAGCACTTTGTCTGTAGACCAGGCTGGCCTCAAACTCACAGAGATCCTCCTGCCTCCCAAGTACTGGGACTGTTTCACTTTTTTACGTGAGATTTTTTGGTTGTTCTTTGGTGGCTTGGTTTTTTGTTTTTTGGGTTTTTTGGAGGTTTTTTGTTTTGGTTTTGGTTTTGGTTTTTGGTTTTTGGTTTTTCAAGACAGGGTGTCTCTGTGGCTTTTGGAGGCTGTCCTGGAACTAGCTCTTGTAGACCAAGCTGGTCTAGAACTCACAGAGATCCAACTTCCTCTGCCTCACAAATGCTGGGATTAAAGGCATGAGCCACCAACGCCCAGCTTGTTGTTGTTTTGGGGACAGGGACAGGTTGACCTGAAATTCTCTACAGTCCTCCTGAGACCCAGGATTACAGGCATGAACCATCACACCCTTATTAAAACTTAACATGTAAATGAAAATACAGGCATGACCCAGGGGTCTATATAGATATAATTGTTTTGGGTGTATATAAATAGAGACAGAAGAAGGAAGAAAGGGTTTGAGGGTGATAACATCTTGAAGTCCTGGCTGGCCTGGTTCCTACTCTGTATACTCTTAAGATGGCTTCAAACTCAGTAATCTTTCTTTTACCTCCCAGGTACTGGGATTGCAGGATACATAGTCATATTCTGCTTTACATCCTTTTTTCTTCTTTGTTTTTAGACAGAGTCTCCCTAGATAACCTATATCTGTCTCTAGATCCTTCTGCCTCAGTGTCCCCAGTACTGGAATTACAGACATTGCACCTGCAGGTGCAGGTAGATCTCTAAGTTCACAGCCAATAGAGACTGTATAGCAAGTTCAGCACCAGTTAGGGTTGACTCTCATAATAAAACTCTCTCAAAAATAATTCAGTCATGTCTTTACTCCATACTCACACACATGTACACACAGAACAGGACTGAAGATTGGACCCAGGCTCTGATCCTTACATACTAGGCAAATGCTCTACCAATAAGCTGTATCTTCCTGTCCCTGAGACAGGGTTTCATAGCACTGCCTTAAATTCTTTGTAGTCCAGGTAGGCCATTTAAAGTCCTTTTTTCATGCTAGGGTTATTAAACACTTTTTTTTTTTTTTAACCAATCTGAGATACATGAGTTCAAGGTCTACCTAGGCTGCTAACCCTGTCTCCAAAAATAATAATAATAATAACAGTACCTTCTCTACAAGTTGTACTGTGTGGTATATGAGGGATGTGAAATTGTTGTTTACATAGAATCCTATCCATTTGATTTTTGTATCAAAATGTTTGTCATTGTTTTTCTCTCTCTCTCTCTCTCTCTCTCTCTCTCTCTCTCTCTCTCTCTCTCTCTTTCTCTTCAGGATAACGAATTAGAAAAGATCACACGGAGGTTCACTATGGAGCTGGCAAAGAAGGGATTTATTGGTATGTATTGCTCTATGAGTTTTTGTATAAAGTGAAAACACCTAAAAATTAATGGTCTTGAATTAAACTCCTGCCTTTATAAAGTGCCTGGGTAGAGTTGCCCTTGCCCTTTCCCTTCCAGAAACCAAGTTTCGCTATAGATCTCATAGACATGTCTTGGCTGTTTTATGACACATCTCCAATAGGCAAGTTCATGTTCTCACTTTGCAGTGTGGGACAAAGACACCAAGGAGAGATCTCTCCTGCCTTGTTTGCATTCTTTTCTGAAATATGGAAAAGGACATGACTACTGAATATTGAATTTATAACAATATTTTTAACACGTGAAAAATTGTTTTTTTAATAGCCATCCAGTTTTTTTCTGAAGCAATAAAAATCTGATGTCATTTGAAGCCAGTGTTTGTGTTTTGTTTTGTTTTTTTTTGTTGTTTGTTTTCATATGCATTAGTGGTTGGCTGGGAACTGACAGTGAGGCTGGTGTAATTGCTCACTACTCCATGTGCCATCACTGTCTCTGATCTGAGGAGTACTCAAGTTATTTATAGGAGCTTTTGTGAAGCATGCTAAATTTCTAAGGGTGCTTCCATTTGCTTGATATTTTTTATTGCCTTGTATTTGTATTGATATGTTCTTTGTGATGAATACATACTATTTACTCTTTAATTTCTAAGCAATTTGTCTCATATTTCTTGGTCTAGAAAGCTTCTGGTTTATTTAAATAAAATAAGTAAGGTTACTCAATAAGATGTTAAAGGGAAACTGGCTGAAAGGGGGGTTGGGACACACAGCCATACTCAACTCTGCTTTCCTACCCTTGTGTTTTCCTTCCACGTTTCCTGTGCCAGTGATAAGTTCCTAGGAAATTAAGCCTTGTTTTTAGGAAATAAGATATGAAATAATACAGGAGTGATATACGAGAAGGTAGAATGTTATAAGATTTAGTTCTAAGATCAGTAGAGTTCTTGACATCCCTTATGTGACACTATTGGGAATTTTACTTGGGCGTCGTTTCACAGGAATATTTTGCTAACAGAAATTAATGAGCACTCGTGCTACAGGGATGCTTTCTGATTTCAAGATGGTGAATTGAAATCATGTCTCAGCCTGGCCATGGACTTCAAGGTCATTTAAATAGCATATTTCCTCTTAGCCTAAAATCTTAATTATATTTTAACATCCTTGTGTTTTTTTAGATTTCATTCAGTCATAGTTATTGCCATCTACAGTGTTTACCAGCTTAATTATGACAGTTCCAAAACATAAAAAGTGACTCATTGGAACTCTGAAAGAAGGCAGACCTTCAATATGAATCATTTGGCCCCTTTGCTTGTAGAGGGCAAACTTCCAAAGCTTATCTGTCACTTTCTCACTTCCCTTTCTGCAAAGTTCTCCATTGTGACTCAGACTTGCATCCAAATTCTCCATTGTGAGTCAGACTTGAGTCTGAATTCTTACCCTGTTAATTTTGTGAGTTTACAATCAAATTCCATGGGGTATGGGTGGGGTGTGGATAGAGGAAGAGAGCTAAGATTTTGATCGGAACTGTGTTGTGTATGTAGACCGTTTTGTGGGGGACTGCCATATTTACCAAATTAAGTCTTCCAGTCCATGAACATGGACATCTATTTGTTGAGCATCTTTCTTCTTCAAGTGTTGCTTGACACTTTCTTAGTACTAGAGACAGCTACATAGTCTCTTCTTTGATGCTATTATAAAGGATATTGATTTGCTGGGTTGTTTGGGAGCTTGTTTTTGGGTGGTTTTTTTTTTTTTTTTTAAAGAATATTTAGTAGTTTCTGTAATCAAACCCACATGGGTAAGATACTATATATATTTAATACAGTGTTGTCCCTGTACAAAAGGAAATAAATGATGTTTAACATTTGTAGACCAATGTGGCTGTTTATTTCTGTACAGTGTCAACTTAATAAACTTGGATATTATTTCTTCATTTTATGATTATTCTTTGTTCAAACCTGGTAATAATACCAGCCTCACAGAATACATTGGAAAATACTCCTTTTTTCAGATTCTTGGGAAAACTTGGAAATGTTCATTCTTAGTGTGTGTTTAGATGGTACCTATCAACTGTAATTTTACCCTGAAGCTTCCTCATATCTCTGTCTTTCTTATTGCCCTTGTGTCTCATACACCAACATTACCATGTTTCAGCTCTTTAAGTCAAACAAAGTGGATTTAAGGATTTGTCTGTATTGCAGGAGTTACTTGTGATCTGTATGTACATCCCCGTAGATCAATTTTGTGTGAGTTAGGAAACTCATGAACCTACTAGGAAATCTGTCTTGCCTTTAGCATGTCTAGGCTAATTTTTTAAACGGCCTTTCTCCTTGCTTCCCTTGAGAAATAGCCAACATTCATATCGTTATGTTTTTTCAGAATGTCTTTCTGATTTATAAACTGCTTTCCTCGGATTTAACAGTTCATATTGCTATTTGAAGCAAGAAATGTTGCTGAAAACTAGGATAATACTCCATAGATTTTTTCTAAACAGATATGATAACAATTTCTCCCTTGTAGCTTAGGAAAGAAATACAATTAAACAAGGCTGTACTGACATATAACCTGAGTATGTCAAATGGAAAGTAAGCAAAGCAGACGAGTAGATGAGGCGAGAACATCAGTCCTTCAGATAGAAGCTCTGTATGGAAAACAGGCTTATGGAGGTTAAACTTCCTTAGATTTAAAGATGCCTAAAAACAAAGACAAGGATGTGAAGTGACAGGTTAGGTGGGGCATAAAATTTGAACCATGACTTAAAGGTTTTCTTGTGCCAGTCTTGTATCCATGATATCATAATTTGTTCATAAAAGTAGTGTCTAGGATTAGGTTCCTTGGAAGAGCTTTATTTTATAAAGGGACTTAATAATTCAGCATATTGTAGAAAGTTATAATGCATAAATCCAAGAATATAGTAAACAGGTTATTGATACCTGTCTTTCTAACCTGGAGACATACAGACGTGTGTGTGTGTGTGTGTGTGTGTGTGTGTGTGTGTGTGTAGAGACATGTATAGGGTAGGTAGAGAGAAAAGGAAGCATGGGATAGAATTTTATGTAAATGAGAGCACACATAGCTATATGAAACCTGCCTTTTCAATATGGTGGATTTGGTAATAATTCCAAGTCATTTACATGGGTTTAAAAAAATAACTTTTTAATGACTAGTACATTGATGCTACACTGCATCTTACTTAATTGGCACCTTAAAAAATTTTTATCTTTTGGTTTTAAGAGTATTCCTGCATAGTTCTTTCTCCCTTTACAGTTGTAGTGAACATCACTGAATGTGGTGCTCAGTAAGTTCACCATATCCAATGATGTTAGAAGCAGCAGTGGTACTGCACACCTGTGGGCCAGTGTTATTCTCATACTTATTTTAATTTGCTGTGTTCTAGGGAGCTAAAATCCCAGAACCTTTATATATGTCAGCAGTTGGCTAATAAATCAAACAAAAGTATTCCATGAGTGAAAGCATCACATGCCTTATAAACTTGCTTCAGCGGTGTCACCACCTCTTCTTTTGTACTTACTGAGAAGGCCTAAGCCAGCAGCGAGCTAAGCTGTTTCAAACACATCTACTTAGTAACCAGAATGATCCTGTTATGGAGGTCAAAACAGTAGTTTAGGAAACTGACATTGAGAGAACAAACATTTGCCAGTGTCATACCCTAAAGTCCCAGGAATAACTTTTATCTGTTGTCCACAGGTAACTTCCAGATACAACCCAGTAAATTTCAGTGGAAAAAAAATAGCTACATGACATTATGTATACAAGTTTCATAGAGAAGAGGCATTTAATAAGTATTTTTGTGACCAGTTCATTACCAAAATGAGATCTAAAGTTGTCTAGCCACAATGACATTGTTCTCTTAGAGAATTGCAAGCATCTTTATGTTTGGGATAAATTATCTTAAAAACTGGCGCACTGCCCTTTCCCTGTGCTCCCAGGTCCTGGCATTGATGTGCCTGCCCCAGACATGAGCACGGGTGAGCGGGAGATGTCCTGGATCGCTGACACCTATGCCAGCACCATAGGACACTATGTGAGTATCCATTGAAACTCAAGGCTTCGTGCATTGCTGTCCACAGAAGTAATAGCCCATCTGACTTAATGAGAAGTTGGTAATTTCTGGGTTTATCTCCCTTTTAATCATAAACTTAGTATGCATATTACTTTGTCCTCTCTCTAGTCTGAAACTGTAAGCATAGTGAGCATGAACTGGGCTTTTGTTTACATTCTGCACTACACTGGGCACTGAGACCAGACCTACCAAACCAGGGCAGCTCACTTGCTGAGGCACAGATGGTATGTTCAGTTCTGCCTTCCCATCATAGTGCTTTCACTTAAAGAGGAGCTAAGGCGCATGAGTTAAGGCACGGAAATGGCATGATGTAAGGTAGAGTTTGGGGTTCTGAAGAAAGCCTTTTTGAAGGGATATTTGAGCTGAACCTTGAAAGTATGGTTGAATTTCAACATCTGGAGATTTGGGGGCTAAGAGGAAGAGAAACAGCTGACATTGAAGGTAAGATACATATGTAAAGGTCATGGAAGAGGTAAGTGAACCAAAATTCAAGCCCTAGTGTGAGTTTTTGTTGATAGTAAAGAGACTTTGCTGTGACTTGTCCTTCAGGAAGAGTAGCTGTCCATGTGACCCCAGTCCCTGTCTCATGAACCCAGGGCTGGAGAGAGTCCATAGAATCTATAAAACCTTGGGAATTGAAACGATCATGAACTGAGAAGTGAATATTGGTTTATTTTTGAGAGAGAAAGAGAACACAAGAGCATGAAGTTGGGTGGGTGGCTTAGGAAAAAGGGAATTTTTAAAAACATTCATTTATACTAGAAGTCAGGTGTGTGCTACAACTGGCATATGTATAAGCTGTTTCAAAGCTATGAAGAAGGATAGTGGGGCCTAACCAGAGCCTCTGGAAATATTCTGAGCTCTGAAGAATGAGGACCCGTGGGGGAGGAGGGAAGAAAGAAATATTAGAAAGTCCTGAAGTGCAGAAGACAAGTGGACTTGAAAGGCAGGGGCGGGTGCTGTAGCCAGTCAGTAGGAGAGGAGAGCTCTTCATCAGGTTTCACTCTGTGTATAGCAGGAGATAGAACTGCTGAGGGCTGGATAGAGGATTCCAGACCACAGGAGGATATGAAAAGAGGGAAATGGGACATTAAGTAAATGTCCAGCTAAGAAAAGTGACATTGGAGAGAAGCAAAGGGACAGCAGTCTAAAAGGTCACTGCTGCCTGGAAAATCTGTTGTCTGACTATTAATTGGGTTGTCTTTCCAGGGCCCAAAGGTAGGCTTTGGAGGAGAGGCACATTTCCCGAAGCAGTGCTCAGAGCACAAGCAGGGCATCTGAAATCTAGTCCTGCCTCCTTAATCCACCAGCTTCGTGAGCTGGGAGTCTCTGCTTTAGCTTCCTCATATTTAAAGAAACAACAAAATCTTAAAGACTGTTAGAAGGATTACGTAAAATAATGTACTTAGAATAGACCACAGCCCTTAGTAAAATAAAAGAAAAAAGTATTACACCATGTGAATTATACCTATCTATGAAATGACATGCAATAGTGTTAGATTTGGACTACCACTCCACCTTTGTATCTCTTTTTTTTTTCTTTTATTTTTTCTTTTTTTTTTTTTTTCTTTTTAAGGAAACGGTATCTGCTATGTAGCCCAGTTTAAACTGAAACTTAAGAGTTATCCTCTTGCATGGGCCCCCAAGAGCTGAGTTTGGAGCTTAACTGTCACACCTGGCTTGCATGCCACCTAATGTTAAGAAAGCACTGGATGTGCTGCTCTCTTGCTCTTGAGCTGGGCTCTTCACTGACCACTGACCTCTGCAAGCTGGTGGACAGTACACAGTCATAGCTCCTTCATAGTTGTGGCAGTGTGAGGGAGCTTTGTGAGGATTTGCCAAATAAGCCTTGGATGGACTGGACTGGTGAAAGCTATTCCATCTTTAACTGATAGGAAATCTGTAAAGTCCCAGACCAAGTAAAGAAGTCATCCAACCCTACTGACTGGTGTTTGGGGACTTGGTCCTTACACCCTGGCTTCCCAGACCATTGGGTATGCTGGGGAGTCAGCTGGCACCAGGCCTGACCTCACACAGTATTTCCTTCAACACCAGCATTTGCATTTCCACAATTTAGAACTGTCCAGCACCAGCTTTGCAATTGTGTATTCATGGTCTTAATTATTCATGAAAGAGAACTGTGGGAAAACTACTAATTCTGAGGGCTTTACTAGACTACCTTCTTTTCAAAGTTGCTTTCATTCTTTTTGTTGGTAACTGTATAAGTACTGCAAGTCCAAGTTCTCTGTAAAAATATTTAAGTAAAGGAGTAATGATCAGGTGACTTCTAGGCAGGGAGCTAGTATGAACTTGAGCACTTCATTGCAAGAGATAATAAATTCATTTAGCAAGCATGCTTTTGCTCCTGGTTTAAAATTCTCCATCTTCTGTTGATCTTCTGGGCATGATCATACTGCCTCTCATTTCTTCTGTTCCGTGATCAGTGTCTGTTCCACAATGTTCTGCTTGCTATGTTTATAATGTGCAGTGCTTCGGAAGGGAAACCCTCTCAAACCTATTTTTTTCTCCTTTTCTTTTGTGTATGCATATGTATGTGTGACCCGAGGTCAACAATGTCTTCCAAAGTTGCTCTCCTCCTTTTTTGAGACGGGGTCTTGTTGAACCTGGAGCTCACTGATTTGGCTATCCTGGCCAGCCTGCAGGCCCCAGGAATATTCATGCTTGCAAAGCAGTGCTTTACCAACTGAGCCATCTGCCCAGGTCTAAAGACCCCATTTTACTAACTATGCCTCTTTGTAAAGAAAAAGACATGCACAGCCTTAATTGAAAGAAGGTAAAAAGGTAGGTAAGATTGAAATCACCCTCCGTCCACTTACCAAAGGTATAGGTTTCTGCATCCTGCCATGAGCACCATTTAAAATTTTCTTTTGAATATCATCTGCTGAAGTTCTTTATTTGAGCCAGGGGTTCCCTGTGTAGCCCTGGCTGGTCTGGAGCTCACTATGTAGACCAGGTTGACCTTGAACTCAAAAGATCTTCCTGCCTCAGCTTCTCAACACAAGTGCTAACTACAGACATGTACTACCAGTCCCAGCCAAAGTTCTTTTTTTTTTTTTTTAATGTTAAATTTCAAAATTAGTTTGGCAGAATATATCACAGTATCTTTCCATTCAAGAAAATTGTAATGCCTTTTCTGGTTCAGAGGTTTTTGGGTTTGGGGTTTTTGTTTTGACAAGTAGAATGTGAACCCTGACTTACTGTGGCTTAGGTTTTTAGTGAAGGAGTAATAGCTTCAAGCTGAATCATAGCTACACTTAGGATATTGTTATTTGTGCGCAACAGTTCCTAAACTGTTTTCTTTCTGTGAAAAATAGCCTACCTTACTAGATTCCTAAGAACAGAAAGTTGGAAAAGGCCCCTCCCTGTTGGTGAATATGAACTTTACATGACTCACACATACTCAGAGATTTGCACAAGCTTGTAGAGTCTGTGTTTTTATAAACAGGATGCCCTTGAACTTGAGCTTCTCCTGCCTCAGCAAATGCTAGGATTACAGGCAGTGCCATGATACCAACTTGCACACACTATTACTAAAAATATGTTTAGCTAATGAGAATATACTTTGTTATATTGGTTTGATCATAGAAAGAGGACTTAGTACCATGTATGGTAGCACATGCCTATAATCCCAGCACTCAGAACATTGAGACAAGGATCACAAGTTCAAGGTCAGTGACCTGTCTCAAAAGAGATAATTCTTCCTTTAAATTGGGATTCCTTTCCTCCCAAAGGATGATGATATTATTATCATTATTATTATCTTCATCATTATTTACTTGTTATCAGGGGTTGACCTCAGACCTCACCCACTCTAGACAAGCACTTTACTCGTGAGCTATATCTCTGGCTCTCTCTTACAGGATATCAATGCACATGCCTGTGTTACTGGTAAACCAATCAGTCAAGGAGGTATCCACGGGCGCATCTCTGCTACTGGCCGTGGTGTTTTCCATGGAATTGAAAACTTCATCAATGAAGCTTCTTACATGAGCATTTTAGGAATGACACCAGGGTTTGGTGATAAGACATTTGTTGTTCAGGTAAAGTAATTTGGGGGTTTGATTTTGTTTGTTTATGTGGGAAGACACACGCTACAGGGTACATTGGGGGTCAGAGCAGGAGTCAGTACTTCCACCCAGATGATTCCAGGAATTAAATTCAGGTGGTCAGGATTGAGCATGTGTGCTTTTACCCATTCATCCATCTCACTAGCCCCCAGTTTTTGTTTTCTTAATAACTAATACACATTAAAAATTCTAAAGGTTTTTCAATTATGGCATTAAAATTAGATTCTTTGAGAATTTGTTAGATTTTAGGATGGTTTTTAGACTAAAGCATCTTTTTTCTTAACCTTGATTTGATTCATAGAACACTTCTTTTGTCCTTATTCAAGCATAAAATGGCATTCAGAACGGGAAAAGGCCTTAACTGTAAAGCCATTTTAAGTGTGCAGAAATACTTTCACATTGACCTACAAAGGCTTCCTGTGTCAGCATGTATTTCACTTAAAAGTTTAGGTTTAGCATCACCTTAAAATAGTAGTATACCGTTATATATACAGTCATAAGATGACGAGGAGGCTCTAACTGCATTGGTGTGGCTTGTCCCCACTGCCACTTCTTTATATTGCTAACTGAACTTCTCTAGGTCTCAGTCTCATAGGTAACAGAAGGTTGGATTTCAGATTCTTGATCTTGTCATTGAAGAGGCCATTCAGTACATCACTTCTCTTTCCCATATGCAACTACCAGAGTATAGATTTCTGTTGGTCAAAATTGACTCATACTATCTGCATCAAGTCTGTCTTGCATAATTCTTCTCCACAGGGATTTGGTAACGTGGGCCTGCACTCTATGAGGTATTTACATCGTTTTGGTGCTAAATGTGTTGGTGTTGGTGAATCTGATGGGAGCATATGGAATCCAGACGGTATTGACCCAAAGGAACTAGAAGATTTCAAGTTGGTATGTTATTCTGATATCTGGGTAGTCTTCACAATTTTTAAGAGAATAGATTTTGGGTTTTTTGTTTGTTTGTTTCTCTTCTATTACATGTTCATGTGCTATGGCATTCAGTTGGAGGTCAGAAGACCCCCTGAAGGAGGTCTGCTCTCTCCTTCCACCATAGGGGTCCCAGCATTCAAGTTCAGACCATTTCTTGATGGCAAGCACTGAGCTGTTTCACCAACCCTAAAAAAGTATTAATAACAACATTTTCAGTTATGGGGGCCTTTCGGGGGGTGATGGGGGTAAGGCATGTGCCACCATGCACACATGGAGGTCAGAGGGCAGCTTGCAGGAGTTCTTTCTCCTTCCACGACATGGGTCTTGGGTGGTTGAACTCATCTCATCATCAGGCTTGGTGGCAGGAACCTTGAGTGTTCTTTCTTCTCCCTTTTGATTTTATGTTTGAGTGGTGGGGTTGGGTTTTTTTGTATTTAAGCTTAGGTTGATCATCTTGCCTCATCCTGTTTGGTGGGTTTTTGGTTTTTTTGTTTTGTTCACTTTTAAGACATGATCTTGCTATGTATGGTTGGTTGGCCTTACATTCCCTGGGTAGCCCAGACTGGTTTCAACTCAAAGCTCTTAATAAATAGATTTTGTATAATAGGTACTGAAGATAGCATTTAAACTCTGTTGTAGCCATTAATTATAATTTTCAACCAATTGCAGCAACATGGATCAATTCTGGGCTTCCCCAAAGCAAAGGTCTATGAAGGAAGCATTTTGGAGGCTGACTGTGACATCCTAATCCCTGCAGCCAGCGAGAAGCAGTTGACCAAGTCCAATGCACCCAAAGTCAAAGCCAAGGTAAAACCATTGTGAAAACAAATTAGAGAAACAGAAAAATAAAATAAAATTGTATATACTTTGTAGAGCAATTTAATTTTAGCTGAAAATATGTTCTTCCTTTTAGCTCCCTACACATAAATACATCTCTTTCCTATGAGAGTGTTCCTGGCATCTGTGCATGTCCCATTCTCTTACAGATCATTGCCGAAGGAGCCAATGGACCAACCACTCCAGAGGCTGATAAGATCTTCCTGGAAAGGAACATCATGGTTATTCCGGTAGGGCACCTGTGTTCCTGGAAATCATTTCTTTTGTTAGCAGCTGGAAGGAGAGAGGACCCACTGGTGTCACAAGTTGTAGTAAATTCTTAATCTTTACTTTTAAGAAAATATAATGGCAATGTGGCTGAGGCCTGGATCTCAGTGGTAGGGCCCTTGCAAGAGCACACATGAAGTTCAAGGTTCGATTTGCAGCACCTCGAGAAACAAATGATAAGGAGGGTGTGGGAAGAGGATTGGAAGCAAGGTTAGTATAATATGCCAGTCATTTTTCTTAGTCCTGACCATTTTCTCCAGCTGTAATGAGTATAAGTAACCCTCAAAATCTAGTTATGTTAAATGTATACTATGCTAAAAGTATAATTCTAAATTAAATGCTTAAGTTTTGTTACCCATTTCCTAACTATACATTTTGAATGTCTCTTCCTGCTTTACTGAAAAAGGAAAGGAAAAATTAGGACTAAAGAGATGGCACACCCATTAAAAGCCTATAGAGCTCTTTCAAGTTCAGAGCCTCATCATTGAATGGCTCACAACCTGCCTATACCCCAGCTCCAGGGAACTGACACACTCTTCTGCCTCTGTAGACACTCACATACCCACACATACAGATTTTTTTCCCTGCTACTACAAAGAAGACCTTGTATTCAGAGTTAGGGATGAAAATAGAGAGGTTATTGGTACTTAATATGGACTCTGAAGAGCCACTTTGTAGAAAGCATGTGTTTAAATAAAAAAAAAAAAAAAAAAAAAAAAAAAAAAACTTGAGGGACAGTGGTGGCACATGCCTTTAATCCCTGCACTTGGGAGGCAGAGGCAGGTGGATCTATGAGTTCAACAGCAACCTGGTCTACAAAAGCTAGTTCCAGGACAGGCTCCAAAGCTACAAAGAGAAACTGTGTCTTGGAAAAAACAAAACAAAAACTCACTTAACTGATATAGGCTGCCTTGAGATGGTGCAAAGGTAATACTATCTTCTGGTGAGGCAGTGTCAGTCCACCGGTTGGTAAACCAGCACTTTAGTCTGAGATCATGGTAAGAATAAGCTAGCTATCACCAAGTCATTCAGTGCTCTCTAAGATATGTTTGCAGTGTTTGGTGTCCTCTTAGTTAGAGTTGCTATTGTTGTGGTGAAACACAATGACCAAAACAACACTTCCACATCACTCTTCATTATCAAAGGAAGTCAGGGCAGGATCCTGAAGGCAGGAGCTGATGCAAAGGACATGGAGAGGTGCTGCTTGCTGGACCCCCTGGCTTGCTCAGCCTTATTTCTTATAGAACCCAGTACCACCAACCCAGAGGTGGCCTCACTCACAATGGGCTAGGCCCTCCCACATCACTGACTAAGAAAATGTCTACAGTAGTAGTTCTTAATCTTTGGGTTACAACCCCTTTGGCAAAAGTCTGTCTCCAAAAATATTTACATTACAGTTCATAAACAATAACAAATTACAGGTATGAAGTAGCAACGAAAATAGTTTTATGGTTGGAAGTCACCAACATGAAACATTAGGAAGGTTGAGAACCACACTGCTCTATGGGCTTGCATACAGATGGGTCCTATGGAAGCATTTTCTTAATTGAGTTTTCCTCCTCAGATAATTTTAGCTTGTGTCAAGTTGGCATAAAACTAGCCAGCACAGATGTTTAGTCCACCTTGGTATTAAAATTGAGTTCCTGAGCCTAACAAGATGGTGAAACAGCTAAAGGTACTAAGCACCAAGCCTGGCATTTACTAATTTTTTTATATTTTCCATGTCACATTTTGTGTATAGGATCTCTACTTAAATGCTGGAGGAGTGACAGTGTCTTACTTTGAGTGGCTGAAGAATCTAAATCATGTCAGCTATGGCCGATTGACCTTCAAATACGAAAGGGACTCTAATTACCACTTGCTCAGTGAGTTCTTAAAATCTTGTTTATGTCTCCAAAAATTGTCCTTTGGGCCAAAGAAAAAGCTGGAAAAGCATACAAACTTAGGAGACCTTTCCCTGATAAGCCTAGAGACCTTTGCCTAAGAACAGAAAACTGTTTTTCTGCCTTCTGGTTCATAGAGCAAAAGGATATATATATATATATATATATA